TTCACCTGCCGCACCGCGGAGAGCGTGAGCAGCGGCATGCCCAACAAAGTGGGCTACGACATCACGCTGTGCCCCGAAGGGTCGGACTTTGCACCTATGAGGGAGAGCGTGGAGCAGGTGGGATGGGGGGTGCAGGAATTCTGGTTTTGGGGCTGGAGGTAGGAGACTTCTTTGGGATCCTGGGTTTGGGAGGTGAATCAAATGCATAGATTGACCACTAGGCAACGGACGAGATCATTTCAAGGCAAGAGTGACAGTCAGTTCATGGCAGTGATAAGTGCAGGGAGAAAGTAGAGGCTTGATTTTTTCCCCGAGGGTGTGTGCCCTCATCTCATCCATGACACGCAGGCCTGCCGGGGCTCTGACGTGGGAGACAACCAGCCGGAGTACTACACGCGAGAAATGGGCCTCTCCCTTGGAGACTGGGCTGATTAGCCAACCGACAGGAAACCAAGCCTTGTCGCTCCTTTTGTTGCCTTTGGGCCCTTTGGGTGGAGCGAGCAACTTAGGTGACTGCAAGGCCAAGTGCCGCAATACTGCCGGGTGCAAAGGTGTCGAGTATGGCCTCCACGGCCACTGCGAGGCGCAGTTTTTTCTTGGGCCGGGAAGCCTTGCAATCGCAGATCAGTGTGTGTGTGTGTGGTCCGAATTACATCCTGGTCTGATTCTTGGGTAGCCACTTTCAGGCCCAAAAGGGACCGCGATTTTGACACCAGAAGCATTGTATCCTGACGTCCCGTGTGGGCCGCGTGGGTCGCGCCTTCCGGTCGCCCGGTGGCCTTGAGGTGTGGACTCGTCCTGCTGGGATCCAGGCCACAGCGCCGGTGCCGGGATTTCAGTGCCTCAGATTTGCGCCTCGGTACTCGTCTCGGAGTCGGCCGATGCGGCCGGCACCTCGTTTCGAGGAGTCGCCGTGTGGGAGCCGTTCTCGTGGCAAAAGGAGTTGTATTCTGATCGGAGTGGGCGAACGATTCAGGTTGAATTTCGTTCAGGGGTTGCTTCATGCCAAAAGTCCCGCACCCGTCGCACACCGAGATTCCGCACGAGTTTGAGACGGTTGGCGACACGGATGAAGCATGCCAAGGGCGACTCAGATTGTATTCAGAGGTTTGAGCTGTTGCGTTACTAGCACACCTGTCACAAGCATGCCTGCCCAGGGACTCAGCAATGTCTAGCACTGAAGCGCTCTACTGGCACTTTGCAAACGAGACTGTCAGCCTCTTGCCCGATTGGAATATCTGAGCGGGGAAGTGGATCCTCGTGTTGGTTTGAAGGTTCCACTGCTGCTGTTTTAGTTGGCCAAAACAAGCATCGCAGTCACCACTCTACTAGCGAAAAAGACAAGTCCCTGACCGTCTCGCGCGCCTTTTCGTCAGTTTCGCCTGTCAGGATGTGTTTTCCCTGTCACACTTCATGTTCCCTCCTGGCATCTGTCGGGTTTCCCGGAAAAGAAAGCCGCCCCAAACGCGCCAAGTCGGGCTCATGAGGTGGCTGCCAGCAACGCTGCCGCATGGCCTCGGATGTCTGCCGTGGAGTGGAGCTGGGCCCGGAGGGATGCACCGTATGGACCCAAGGCGCGGGCAACCAACCGTTTTTGGTCCTTTTTTGGACCATCTTGCGGCTTCTCGTCCGGCTGTTTGGTTGGATTTCTTTTCCACTTGGCAAAGAGGTGCGGATTTTGGAAATTGGACCCCACCAAAAGTTAGACTAAGGGGTCGACGGGCGGTGCTTGTGGTTTGGCCCCGGAGGAATTGAGTCGACGAAGCCGGCGGCGGGGTATTCCTGCCATGCCTTCCTGCCCTCCGACTTCGAGCTGGTTGGCACCGGGGCATCGGCGTGCCGCGGCTCCACGTGGTACGAGCTCTGGCTGCAAGCGTGTTTTTTTTGGTTGCCGAGGTCTTTTTGCGTCTTTTTGGGCAGATTTGTGGTCTCTTTGCGTCTTCTTGCCTTTTTTTCTGGGTGAGTTGAAAAGAAGCCACCCATTTCAGGGATCTCCAAAGAAAGGACACCCCCTCTTTTGTATGAGGGGTTAGGTTGACGGTCATGAAGCTCTCAAGTTTGTCAAGTCTGTCAAGTCTGTCAAGTGGCCTAAAATTCGCGCAAACTGCCTGTAAACGGCTCATTTTGCACATGCAGATCCGAAGTCGGCTTGAAAGTCGTCTAAAAGTTCCAAAAAATTGCCAAAAACCGCCGAATTTGACAGACTTGACAGACTTCAACCATTTAGAGGAACAATGTAAAGGTACCATGACGCAAGGGACTGCATTTTTTTTCAATTTATTTTATTTCATTTGTTTGCCATGATCAAAGCTCCTTAGGGATTTAGAGGATCAATGTAAGGTTCTCAAGGGAACCATGACGCCAAGGAGTTCTGATGGCGCAAAGGAACGCAGCCCCTTCCATCCCATGTCGAGAGGAGTTTTTTTTCTCGAGCACCCGGGACCGAGTATGCCAGCCTCAGGACAACTCCGTGGACTATTTCACCCACGTCAAGCAGCAGACTTTGACTTCCTGCAAGGAGCTTTGCAGAGGCATGGGATCTAGGCAGGGTGGCTCATGAGAGGCATTCAGTGCTTATGGACGGCGAAGCTGTGATTTGAAGTTGCTAAAGTCAAAAGGAGCCTGGAATTCCTTTTGCAGCAGTTCTGGGTGGAAATGTTGGATGACTCTGGCTAGATAAGGTATTGATAGAAAGAAGTCCGGCTCTAGTCAGTCAGTCAGGCAGGCCGGCAGGCAGGCAGGCAGGCAGGCAGGCAGGCAGGCAGTCAGTCAGTCAGTCAGTCAGTCAGTCAGTTTGTAAAATTGTTTGACTTGAGGTAGGTTGCCCAGTGAGCTTTTATCTGAGTTTCCTAATTCGTGCTTGTGCAATTGTGCCAAAACCTGCTTTTGCCCAGCACTCGCGCTCACCGCTTCTCCTTGCCAATGGATGAAATTACCGCTCGTAGCGGCAAAGAGGAACCTGACCAGTTCTGGATTTTGGGGCTAGATCTACCAGACATTTGCGATACCTTTTCCACAATGAACTTTACAAGCATGACGATCAGTGCTCTCCAGGTGCAAAGGGATTGAATTTGGGCCATATGGCAGATGCGAGCTGTGGACTCGCGATGGTGGCATCCAAGCTGAGAGGCCAGGACAGCTCGCATTTGCTACTTGCGCCATCTTCTGTTGAACAAAAATCGCAAGGCCTCTGGATGGCTACAATTGTTATCGCTATGTGCCGTAGTCTCCTGGCATGAAGGAAGCCTGCCAGTGAAGGGAGAAGGGCAACTCAGTGCGCCCTGCTCAGCTCAGGAAAACTTCGCGCCATTGTGCCGATCCGCGTAGTGACGTGAGTTTGGTAGATAGGCGTTTCCGATGTCTACAGACATCTACAGACATCATCCGCTGTACAGGCAGGCGGCTGACACGTCAGATTTGTGACGGGGGGTGATTGGTTGGTTCCTTGCACTTGCAGCTAAATTTGCAGGTCCATAATTTGCATCTTTTCCAGGCAAGACGTCTACGTGGCAGCTGCTAGAGGTTGCATGAAGAAGCATTGACCGCGGGATGTTGCTGCAGTCTTGTGTCTGAGCCGTGAGCAAAGATTTCGGCTGCGCAGATGCTCACTCTTCCACTGTTTGTGGCCTCCAGTTGGGGTGGCTGCGTTCGGTTCTCACTACTGTCCAAGTGATCTGGGAGCCTGACGCAAAGGCCACATGCTGGCCGGAGGCAGCGAGCAAATACTATGCACAGCAGCGAAGGCGGCAGAGACTGCTTCGCTGCAAAGTTTCTGGATCGGCTTGGCCATTGTGCCTTGCTGGCCTTTCTGCGCGGTGCAGTGTGCACCGCGCTGAGAGGGACCAGGTGCAGTTCGACCAGAACTGCATTTAGTGATATCGATTTGTTGCATGAAGTTGGGGCAGGCCAGTCAGCCATTGCGTTCACCCGGCTGAAGGAGGTTCAGCACTCCGGAATGGAGAAGAAGACGTGTTTCTTTTTTGTATTTGTCCCAAGAAGCATCTACGGTGTGCTGGCTGGCGATTTGTTTACTGCTTAGCAGTACTTAAAGCGCGGAAAGCGCGCTGTGCATCGATCCTTCAACGCCCACCAGAGGAATGCCTCCAGGACAGCACCCAGCTGCCAGGATGACAGAAATGGCCGTGGGTCAACACCGTTTTGGGATCCCATTTTGGTGTAGGTGAATTCACCACCCATTTAGAACCGATTTTACTGGCTGGATTGGTTGATGTTCACTGGGGGTACGATTGGGTTTTGACCCATAGCCAAATAAATGATGGTTCCGCTGCTTCCGTGTCTTGGCGAGAGCATGACCACTGCAATCAGGAATGCCTGATAGGACATGCTTGTTTTTTTCCAGTCAAATGTTCTTCAACCGGGTTTGTGTGCCTTCTGATTCGGGATCATGTTGAATATAGATTCCGTTTTGAGTCTCACTTCAGTTTCGCCTCCATGCCATGTTGTAGGCAATCCACTCGCATTTGTTGGCAGTTTATTGCATTTGTGATTCCGGTTGCCAACGATTTCTTTCGCGCTCTAAACCGTTGGCCGCTTGTTAGCCTTTTCTTCCAGCAGATGTGTCAGGCGCTGGCTTTCTCCTTCGTAGCCTTGTTTGCACAATCAACAATTTGGACAGGGGAATACCCGATTTCTTCAAAGGTTGTGCTGACAAGGAAGATGCTGTAGCCCAATCCCTGCGAGGCCTAAGCTTTGCTGCCCCTGCACTTTCCTTCATTGCTTTTCCGTGCTGGGAGCCGCATCAACTTAGATTAGTTTGCTGTTGTCAAACTCACTGGAAACTCACTGGATGTCTGGTTCACGCGCATCAACGGCCGCATCCTTCCCAGTCAAATCCATGTGCGATGTCCAACCGGTCGGTGTGGACCAAGACAAAGAACCCAAGCGCGAGGGGGCCACCCCCCTACGGGTCCCCACCCCCACTTTCAAGGGAAACACGAAGGCATGTCCAAAGCGGGGGGTGGGGATGGGTGGACCCGGAGGCGCTGGCGCTGGGCTGCTGGCCTCCAAGGTGCCGCTGTTGCCCCTGAAGGCGGGAGGATCGCAGGACAGGGGGAGGCGCCGAAACGGTATGATGGTGGTGATGGTGAGGAGGAGGAGGAGGAGGAGGAGGAGGAGGGTGGTGGTGGTGGTGGTGGTGCTGGTGCTGGTGATGGTGCTGGCAATGTTGTTGTTTTCCTTTTGTTATGATGCAATGGCAATAGGAACAATACTGATCACAAGCTTTCGCAGTCTGAAACCACCATCCTTGAAGGATTTTGAGCCTTCACGGAAGGCCATAAGCATCCTTGAGAGAAACATGCTCGAGAAACATGTCAACCACATTTCCAGCATGTTGGAACTGCTGCAAGTGACGAAAGAGTGAATGAATGAATGAATGAATGAATGAATGAATGAATGAATGAATGAATGAATGAATGAATGAATGAATGAATGAATGAATGAATGAATGATGATGATGAATGATATGACATGAAATGAAATGAAATGAAATGAAATGAAATGAATTGAAATGAAATGACATGAAATGAAATGAAATGAAATGACATGACATGACATGACATGACATGAATGAATGAATGAATGAATGAATGAATGAATGAATGAATGAATGAATGAATGAATGAATGAATGAATGATGATATGATATGATATGATATGATATGATATGATATGATATGACATGAATGAAATGAAATGAAATGAAATGAAATGAAATGAATGAAATAACATGAAATGAATGAAATGAAATGAAATGAAATGACATGACATGACATGAATGACATGAATGAATGAATGAAATGAAATGAAATGAATGAAATAACATGAAATGAAATTAAATGAAATGAAAGCATGCATGCGTGCATGCATGCGTGCATGCATGAATGAATGAATGAAATGAAATGAAATGAAATGAAATGACATGACATGACATGACATGAAATGAAATGAAATGAAATGAAATGAAATGAAATGCATGCATGCATGCATGAATGAATGAAATGAAATGAAATGAAATGACATGAAATGAAATGAAATGAAATGAAATGAAATGACATGAAATGACATGACATGAAATGAAATGACATGAATGAATGAATGAATGAATGAATGAATGAATGATACAAATGACTTAATATGAAATGAACTGATATTATGCAATGACATGAAATTAAATGAAATGGAATGACATGAAATGGAAAGGAAAGGAATGGCATGGAATGAATGAATGAATGAAAGGACATGAAATGACATGAAATGAAATGAAATGCAATGACGTGACATGGAATGACTTGAAATGGAAAGGAATGGAATAAATGAGTGAATGAATGAATTAATGAACAAATGAATGAATGAAAGGAAATGAAATGACATGAAATGAAATGAAATGCAATGACGTGACATGGAATGACTTGAAATGGAAAGGAATGGAATGAATGAGTGAATGAATGAATTAATGAACAAATGAATGAATGAAATGAAATGAAATGAAATGACATGAAATGACATGAAATGCAGTGACAGGACATGGAATGACATGAAATGGAATGAAGTGACATGAAATGGAATGGAATGGAATGGAATTGAATGGAATGGAATGGAATTGAATGGAATGGAATGGAATGAATGAGCGAATGAACATGGCGAAGTTTTCATGCCATGTTCACCTTGGCCATCCTCATGCTGTCACGGCCAGGCTGCCCTAGCCGTGGCCCTGACGGTGGCTGGGCAGGAGCTTACGGGTACGGTGCACCCAGCAGGCAGGGCACTGGCAATGGCGACGTTGGCAGGTCGCTTCTGGTGATTCGGTCTGATTTTCGTCCTGCTAGCAGTAGGTTTCTCTGGAGGATAATGCCGCTCGAAGTCACTTCAAGCACCCTTCCAGGTGCTTTTTGTTCTTGCGGCTTGTCTCATCCTGCGTGCAAGGCGCAGCAAATGCACTGCTCTTGGTGGATGTGCGACCCTGAGTGATCTTTAGATTGGGTGCAGAAGCCGCCTTCATCTCATGCCTGACATATATACCCAAAACTATAGCATGTCGGCCACTGAGGAGGAGTACATCTCATGGCATGCCTTCGGCCTGCAAGGGCCTTAGTTTTCAGTGAGCGTCACTTGCCCGCGCCTGGTACATGTGGCTTTGCGCGGCCTGTGTGCTGTTCTGCTCCAGGAACATCTCTGGCTCTGTGTTGATCGTCGTAGCCCGGGCACTGAGCATTTGCTCCGTGCGGGGAGGCTTCACAAGGAAAGCTCAGCTTGCAAACGACATGGCCGCAAGACACTAGGTACTAAGCCTCTCACCATGGATCGTGATTCGGACTTTTCTTTCACTAAGCATTGCAAGGGTCCCTAAATCGAAACCAAGACCAAGCTTCACTCTCTTGGGACTAGTTTCGGATGAGCAACTTGCCGAGGTAGCTTGTCTCTTCAACAACCTATTCAACGACAGATTCTACCCACAGGCGCACGAGTTTCGCGCACTGGCCGACCGATTCCCCGCGGCTTTGAAAAACTGACGTTCAAGGCATGGTGGCCAGCGCTGCAGCCACCTGACGAAGCTCCAGGCTTGGCAACGGGACGACTGTTGCTAGTTGCTCAAATCTTGTGAGGGTTTGGACGTGTTGCCCGAAACAGACCGGTGGAAACAGACAGGGCAACTTGCTTCAGCGGCCCTGACAGGGGGAATACAAGGTTTCAAGGGGAACCTTGTTCCAGAAACCACATCCAAGCTCGTTGGATTATGTTTGCGCGAACTCAATGTTGCCGAGGCGCTAAAATAGAACATCAGGATGGTCATCGAGTGGGGAAACAACTGTTTTTGCACCAGAAGCTTGTTATTCAGTGCTTTGAAAACGTCACAAAACACTGCAGGGGCTCATTTGAAATGGACGCGGCTTGCGAAGCACCGCAAAACAACGGTGAATATGCAAGTCTCCCGCAAGTTGACAACGTGAGAGTTGTCTATTTTGTGGCACTATCACCGAGATCATCCGATCTAGAAGTGCAGTGCGGCAGCACTTTCGTGCTTTCAGCACTTCGAGGATCCACAAAGGCCTGCGAAGAAATGCCAATGCACCAACCAAAGCCTCAAGGCCAGGACTTACTCAGAAAGTGCATGTGCACGATCGTGTCCAGAGCGATGAACCACAATCGGAAGTGTTTCCAGAGAAGTGGAAGGCAGGGGCCAAGGCCTGCAAAATCAAGAGGAAGCCGCTCCGCAATTAAGACAGTGCGCACGACCGAGGCCAGGACAGGGTCGTGTGACTGCGTCACCAAATCGAATAGGCTGCTCAAGTATGAAGTGCAAAATTGAAGGAAAGGAGCAAGCACAGGATGAGCAACGACACGCCTGCCAAGCGACAGAGGAGCACAAGACCTAAGGCAAAACGGGCAGCATCTGACATGAACATGAGAAGGAATGGTCCAAGACGCAGTGCCATTCTCTGCGATCATCTCCCCCCCCCCCCCGCACCCCCCCTCCCCCAGCATCTCCGAGCCAACTCTCCAAGCCACAATATGTTTAAACATGATGTCATCTTGTTGGGGAACTTAAACATGATGTCATTTTGTCGGGAACCCCCCTCGTCTGGAGGGTCTTGTGAGTGTTTCCTTGAGTGGCAGTGGCACGTGAGCCCATCCTTTGCAGTATTCTCCTCCGTATCATTCTCCTCATCCTCCTCATCCATCAGCCTCCTTATGATCCTCATCATCCCTCCTCCTCCTCCGCCTCCTCTGATTTTGTTCAGTAACTTTCCACAAACGTTGCTGGGAGGCCCTAAATCACCCTGGCTTGCCTAGGCCAGCGTCTGGTGCCCCCCTCTGCGGGCTTCCTCGTCCACGCGCCCCAAGAGTGGCCAAGCCCTTGGCGAGCATCCAATCGGGAAGGATGAAATGTGGGGTTAAAACAAAACACATTTCAACTGGCATCAGATTCACGAAACACACTTTCAGGCAAGGCGAGCGGAGAAAATTGTCAGCTGCTCGTTGAACACTGGCCTCTGACACTTCCTGCGAACCAAGTAGCCGCACGACCGTCATTGCCCTGAGGCTGAAGGTCTACCTGCTGAAGCTTGAGGGTGGACATGCGCTAGGCCCCACTCAAGTCTCCAATGCCCACACCTGCTTCAGCTGGAGCCTCAGCTTGCAGATGGGTTTGCTTATCCTTTGTGGGCGTGATTCATAGGCTTGTTCAGATAGTGTGGCAGTGTTTTGCTTGGTATCTGCTCGTAGGTTGGCTTGCAAGATGTGCCGGGCTGTGACCCCCGTGCCGCAGGTTCTTTGATCTCCTTCCTCTTCATGCTGCGGCTTGGTCTTCCGAAATGGTTGGACGGCATTATCTGAGAGAGTCTTAGGGGCTGCAATTCTCCGGGTATTGGTGAGAGGTGTACTTTGTGTTGGCTTCGATTGGGAGGGTGAACGCCATTCCCAGAGGCAGCTGCAGGGGATGACCGGGACATCGGGTGCAGTGCGTCGTGGCCCTAGGTGTATCGCCGTCATCAACGAGGCCCTGGACTTCGATCCGGCCGCGCGCCGCGGCGGCACCGACTTTTTTCGGCAGCTTGCCCGGGGGTTGGTGAGGTCAGGGGAGGTCAAGAACGCCTTCTCACTTGGCCATGGGTCAAAGTTTCGTACAACCAGTGAACATCAACCAATCCCCACTATAGACTAAAATGGGTGGTGCACCGAAAAACCCCCCAAAATGGGATTCCATGGGTTTTGACAACCACAGCCACTTGGTTTCAACAAGCATTTTCAACAACCCAATTGAACTTCGCCCGCTTTGGCTTCACTTGTTGCCTTCTCGCGCTCGCTGCGAGGCTAATGGCCGCGGCAGCCGCAGCCGTGTCTATCTTCAGTGACTGGAGAGGTGCCGTCTGTCGGGGAAGGGAAGGTGGGGAAGGCTTGGAAGGATCTTGTGAGATGGCTCTTTTCTTTTGAATGCATGTGTGCAGTTGCTTGTGCTTGTATTTGCGCGTTGGCGTATGAGTGTGTGTTCGTGTACTTGTGCGCCCGTATGATCGCAAATTCAGGTTTGGCAAGGCTTCATAGTCCCTCCAAGGAAAGCCCCTCTTGGGAAAGAGTCAGGCAGCCCATCAGGCAGCCCTGGCCGTGTCAGACGCCTTGGATCGACTTATGAAGTGGCGCGTGGTGGGGCATAGCTGGAAGTCTTTGTCTTTGCGTCAAACGAAGCGGGATTGAAAGGAGGCCAAAGTAGGGTGCCTTTCTCCAAAGAAGCAAGCTTGCACCAAAGCCGTGGGCGGAAGTCGAAGATCCCCTATGAGTCTGCCGTAGTTGGCACGAAGGTTGGCTCTTCAAGGCCATGGCTTTGGGAGGGCGGCTGACGAAGTTTGGACAATCACTCAAAATCATCAGCAGCCCAACGCTATCCCAACCACCTCAACCACAGCCCTTCACGGAAATGCCTCGGCTTCCCCAAAAACCTGTGACACAACAGACGTATTGGACGGAATGGACGGATGCCAAAAATGCATCGAGGTGGCCCGCAACAAGGTCCCTATCGCAGGCTTTGTTTTCAATTTGACTTCTTGCACGGCATGGATTCTTCCAAGAGGTATCGAGGTCACCCTCCGAAAAGCTCCCTATCGCAGGTGTTCCAAGTTTTTCGAATTGCCCATGGAATGACCCGCGCGGTTTTTAGCGCCTTTCCGTTGCGCGATCGAGGCCCCTCCTCCCAGCCCTGGCCCTGTCTGGTGGGTTCCTTGCTGGCGGCCGCCTGCGGCGCTCTGACGGCGGAGGCTTGGCGGCTTGCCGGCTTGCCGGCCTCGAGGAGGGTCCGTGGTACGTGGCGTGACTGGTTCCAAGCCAGGAAAATGGTCGGGGAAATGGTCGGGAAACCGGGGGAAGCCACGAAAATGATACATGTATTTGGCATGACTGGGGAAGCTGCTAAAATGATGATATTTGAGCCGCCAAACCAGGAAAGGTTTCCCATGGTTGGTGATATTTCAACCCCCAAACAATCACCAAACAGGAAACGTTTCCCATGGTTGATTTGGGGGCCAGGAATATTTGATCAAGCCCCAAACGCGAACTTGGAAAAGCAGACACCGGGAGGGGTCAGCAAAACAGAAATTTAAGTTGTAGGAGCTATGAGCTTTGGGAGTTTCTGTTGTTTGTGAAGGTGGCTTGACACGGCCAAGACCCAGGGAGCTTCAGAACGGCCAGAGAGCAGCTGGCGCTTTCAGTCCATGTCTGAAGTTTGGGACGGGCCAACCGCGTACCCCGCGCAAAGTCGATGATCCACACACACACACACAACCCGTAGATGCGCCCACACCCCAGTCAATTTATCTTCTCTTTTTGGGAGAACTTGGAACTGTCTGTCAGGCGTCCAGCATTGAGGGGCATCCGGTGCATATGGCGCCCTTCAAGGTTTCAATGTGTCAAAGTTGCCCTGGGCAACAAGCAAAGCCGGGTGTTGCACGCCTCCTTCGCAATCCCTGTGATCTTCAAGGATTGGCACGGCGATCCTGCACAGGGTTGCCAGGAATGGCAAATGCTCCCCATTCCTCTTGTTGGCTAGTTTATCGAAGGCTCTGTCACGCCTGTGTGACGGCGCAACATAGAGAACAAGAACCTGTGCAGATTGCAAGCCCCTTGAGATTGGCAAAGCTTGGGCTGCAGGCCTTGTTTGCGGCGTGGTTGTGTGGGCCGCAGCCAGGTGTTGCACTGGATGCCGCTCCTCGTCTCGCATCCTTGGGGATGCCGTAGGTTGGAAGTGGGTGGAAAAGCCCTTGATGGGTTGTGCTTGCTCGTTGCAACGCCCATGTTCCCTTGGCTGGAGTTTGGACCCACGTGAGCCACTAGAGTCTTCAGCTCGTTTGAAGGGGAGCAAGTGCAGTGACCTGCGCGGCTTGGGCTGTTTCTTGCTACATGGCCATGGGTCAAAAGCATCCAAATTCCAACTAAAATAGGTTCTAAAATGGGTGGTGCACCTATCCCAAAATGGGATCCCATTGGTTTGGACAACCACAGCCACATGTTCGCCAAGGATCACTGCCGCTGGCCTGGCCGTGGGGCTCACCGCTGCAGCGCAGGAGCTGGCGGGCGCGGTGTTCCCTGCCGGTGGCGCCATCGCGCTTGTCTTTGTGGCCAGGGGCCTGGCTGGTGTTTTTTGTTTTTGGTTTTGTTTTCGTTTTGGAGCTTTTTTTATTCTTTTTCTTTTTTTGAGATGCTTCGCAGAGTCCGGAAGTGAGCGCCAGTGCTCAGAACTAGTTCGGCCGAGGTGAGTCCGCAGCGTTCGCCTATTTGGAGCTCGGTCTTGTACACTGGGCTGCTGAGCCCCTTGCTTGGGATACTGTTGTGTGATTGGCTTGGCTGTGCCATTTATCTACACATATGAAGAAGGGTCGAATATACCGTCACGCAGGTTTAGAAACAAACACATACGTGCATACGTACATATGTACATGCGTACATACGCACGTGCGTGCATCCGCACATGCGTACACGAGTACATGCGTACATACTTACATGCGTCCATAGGTACATACATACTATACATGTATGCATGCATACTTGCATACAGGCGTACCATGCATACATGCATACATGCATACATACATACTGACCTACCTACTTACTTGCATACATTATGTTACGTGCATTGCATTGCACTACATTACACAAATGGCATACATGACATACATTACATACATTACATACATTACATACACTACACACACACTATATACACACACACACTACATACATCACACACACACATTACATTCAGTACATACATTACATGTACCGTACACATGACATACGTTACATACATTACATACATTACATGCATTGCATATAATACATACAATACATTACAGTACATTACAGTACACTACGGTGAAATATGTTGCATGACATTGCCTTACCTTACCTTACCTTACCTTACCTTACCTTACCTTACCGTACCGTACCGTACCTTACCATACATACATGCATGCATGCAACCATACATGAATACATACAGACACACACACACACATACATACATACCGACATCCCTTGTCTTTTTGACTGGTGAAACATGTACACATACGCTTTGTCTTCGGATGTCTTCGCGCTGACCCGTTTTCTGATATTGACAGAGTGCGTTGCAAGGTGAAGATTTGGGAGAACAGGTGCAAAGCCTCAGTTGGTCTTTGCTTGTCTACGCAAGGATTCTTGTAAAGGAAGCCATGTCCAGTATGTCTTGTCCAGCATCCCAAACAAACCAGGCTTTACGCTGCAGAGGTTCCCCATGCTAGGATTGGTGGACGGCACAGTTTTGGTTTCAGAGGACCAGGTTGGATGCCGCTACAAGCCCCTGATTGAGCGCACGGGCCTGTGAGCCCACAGGGGTCTGCCTGTTGTCCCTGTTTGCAATAGTTGTCAACCTAGGGTCAGCTTGGAGTACTTTTTGATGACCCTCATGCATTCATTGCAAGGTGCTTCCTTGCTGGTCATCTTCGGCACTCTGCTGAACAACCTGCAAGAGACAAGGCCGTTGATCACACCGGCTGGGCGGAACAGGTGCGTTGACACGTATGAATCTTCCCTGCCTGTTGCACGCAGTTGTTGTTGCAACATGGCTTTACTGCTATGGTGGTTTGCTGCGCTTGAGCGGATGGTGCGAAAAGTGCAGATTTGCCTTGAGTCTCAAAAGGGGTTGCCCAGCTTGTCTATTCTCATGGCGTGATTAGCGACAGTGAGGTTAAAAGCACTTTTGGGGTTGTGTGTGTGTGTGTGTTCGAACATGTTGACTTTGCGCCAGCCAATGCAGACACACACACAAACACACAAACACACAAACACACAAACACACAAACACACAAACACACAAACACACAAACACACAAACACACAAACACACAAACACACAAACACACAAACACACACAACACACAAACACACAAACACACAAACACACAAACACACAAACACACAAACACACAAACACACAAACACACAAACACACAAACACACAAACACACAAACACACAAACACACAAACACACAAACACACAAACACACAAACACACAAACACACAAACACACAAACACACAAACACACAAACACACAAACACACAAACACACAAACACACAAACACACAAACACACAAACACACAAACACACAAACACACAAACACACCACACAACCACACAAACACACAAAAACACACCCACACCCACACCCACACCCACACCCACACCCACACCCACACCCACACCCACACCCACACCCACACCCGCCTGCACGCGCACGCGCACGCGCACGCGCACACGCACACGCACACGCACACGCTCACGCTCAAGCACACGCACACGCACACGCACACGCACATGCACCGCACCCGCACCCGCACTGCCCACCCCGCGCGCGCACGCGCGCGCACAGCACACGCCACATGCACACACGCACACACGCACACACACACACACACACACACACACACACACACACACACACACACACACACACACACACACACACACACACACACACACACACGGCACCCGCACCGCACCCGCACCCGCACCCGCACCCGCAACCCGCACCCTCGCACCCCGCGCCCGCACCACGCACCCGCACGGCGCACGCGCGCGCGCACGCGCGCGCACGCGCACGCGGCACGCGCACGCGCGCACACGCTTCACGCCACACTGGCCCCTTTTCTGCGCACGCGCAGGCCGCTGCAACGCACACGCGCCACGCGCCACGCGCGCGCGCGCGCGCACACGCGCACACGCACACCGCCACGCACACACACACACGCACACACGCACACACGCACACACGCACACACGCACACACGCGCACACACGCACGCACAGACACGCACAGACACGCACAGACACGCACAGACACGCACAGACACGCACAGACACGCACACACGCACACACGCACACACGCGCCCACGCGCCCACGCGCGCAGACGCACACACGCACACACGCACACACGCACACACGCACACACACGCACACACGCACACACGCACACACGCACACACGCACACACGCACGCCGGCCATGCACTCGACACATGCGCTTGTAAAAAGACGTGTGTGAATCTACCCTGTCCGTCGCTCGCAAGTAGGTGTCGGCCAGTTTGCGGGTTGACTTTGCTGTCGTGGCCTGACCCGGGACTGGGGCTAGGGTTTGATTGTCGTTCCGGGTTGGTTTCAGATTGCCCGTGGCCTTTGATTTGGCGCGAGGCGCTTCCCACGGCGTTGGCCTTGGCAGCGCGGCGGGACCGCGCCGCATTCATTTCTGCCGCCTCTGGCGCGCCCTCGTCGCTCGATCGCGCAGCCGGCCGTGTCAGTAGCAGGCGTTTGCCCCAAACCCGACGAATTTGGACTTGCAGGCTTGATTTTGTTAGGCTGCGGAACCGCAGCTTTGCGGAGTTTGTGTTTGACAATGTCCGAGGACAGTCGGAGCGCAATTTGGTGAGAAGGTGGATGGAGCTGGAACGCGGAAGTTCGCAGTATTCTCATGTTTATGTGGGCGTGCTCACGGCACCTTGCATGCACACGGGATACATTCTAGCAATCAGTGCTCCAGACAACTTGTGTATGATGTCAGCTGCTTTTTAGTAGTTATGCTGCTGATGGAATTTCCATGCGCGGCCCAGGTGGCCTTGCAGTGTCTTGGCTGGCATGTTCTTTCTTGGGAAGCTTCTGAAAGGATTGTGGCGTATTGCAGCTGGCCTGTGAGACTCTTGAAGTCAGCCCCAGGTGCTTCTTTCTCATCTTCCTGTTCTTCGCAGAGGTGGACATGTCCATGGAGACTATCACTTCTATGTGCAATAGCTTGGCCTGATCCTGAGCTTCCGGAGCAGACGATCAACTAATGCACCCCTTCTTGGACAAAGGCGGCCTCGTTTTTACTCCTGTTTCACACGAGTCCCAAGGGGAACTTTTCGAATTGGTGACATGTGGAGGGCCCGCGTCGTTGCCCGAAGGCATGGGCATCCATGCTGGTGCTGGCTGGCTTCGGCTACATGCAGTCCTTCCTCAAAGCGTGCCTCGTCCGTCGAGACGGCGCACATGGCCGCGCCCACATGCCAGGGGCAGCAGAGTTGGCGGAGGAGGGGATCTTTGGAGATTCTTGACGTGACTGAGGTATGGCCTAGGTGCAGTGGGCTACTCCATGCTCATTACCTCATTGGCAGTGCAGTGGTCCATGATTCTGGAGAGCCTTCTGGATTTGAAGCCCCTCCACTTTGGCTTCAGCTCGCTAGTGCAGCCTGGTTGGAGGCTATCGGACATGAAAAGATTCATGCAAGTGCAGAGGTTCCAAAAGATTGGCGGTGCATAGGTTTGCGAGTTGACCACATGTAGCAGCCTGATTTGCCTGGCCTTGCTCAGTCGCCGGGATGCTTTGCACTTTTGTGGACACCAAGGCAGGGGTATTCAGCGGCTGCTGCGGTGCTCATCTCCTTCGGAGCCCTGATTGGCAAGGTGCAGTGGCGGCCAAAAAAACACCTCCTCCATAGAAGGGCGTCATGCCGCCAGGTAGACCTGCTTCAGATTCTCGCGCTTGTGGTCTTAGAGCCTTTCGGCTGAATTCTGATGAGTGGCTCAGATGGCGGATGTGACTGGCACATGTAGGAGAGAGTTTGCCAGCTGGCGTGCGAGGTTGCCTTGCTACTGCTGGAACAAAGTTGTTTTCCTGCAGCTGACTGCTGGCAACAAGCCGGTAGCACCTTGGATTGAGCCGTGCGGTGGATGGGATTCTGCAAGTGGAGGGCTGGCATAGAGCCCCAGATTGTGTTCAGCTTGTAGCCATTTGTTTAAGGAGCCTGTTTGGGGCGCAGCTGCGGGTGTTCTTGCATTCTTCCCTTTCATTGCGAGACTTCTTCCGGGGGCACCCTGGCCACAGTGTGTTTTGATGTTCAGGTCCACGACGCCGGGGGGTTGGAGGTCTTCCTCTTTGGCGCCTTCTTCGGGCTGGCGGCGGCCAGGGTCTTGGGCCCCGCGGAGATGTCGTGGCTGAACCGCTCCCAGCGCAGCTCGGAGCGCCGTCGAAGTCGCAAGTGGGTCGCCGAGTCGCGGGTCGGAGGCGTGGAAGGGGCCACAGATGCCTCAGCGGCGAGTTTGGTGTTGTGGTGCAGGGGATTGTCTCAAGGTCCATGCAGAAATAACCCATCTTGGAGCCAGAACAGGGCTGCTGGCCGACGTGGTTTCTTTCATTGCGGTTATTGCAGGAGCTGCTTGCGCTGCTGGGCACTGCCTGCTTCTGGGCCTGCCTGCCGTGCTTCGTGGCAGCCCACGCAAAGCGGGTGGACACCAAGCCGCATGCGTGGCTGAATACAGTGCTGGCGCTGAAGCTCGGCTGCAACAGGCCCAATGCGCGTTGTTATTCGAGTAATTGTGACCTTCAGGTAGTAGAGGGCAACTGGGAAACCGCAACCACCAAACCACCAAACCACCAAACCACCAAACCACCAAGCCACCAAGCCACCAAACCACCAAACCACCAATCCAGGGAAGCTGAGACATCCAGGAGGGGCAACTTCCAGAATGATCCAGCCTGAGGGGGCGAAGAACTGTGCTCCTTTGCCCTCTGCCTCCTTTGGGGGCTCAAACCATCCGCATCCAACCGAAGTACTCCCTCTCCCCTTCTCTCTCCCCCTCTCCCCCCGCCCTTCTCTCTCCCCCTCTCTCTCTCTCCCCTCTCCCCCGCCCTTCTCTCTCCCTCTCCCTCCTTTCATGGGGCCTTTTTTTATTCATGGCTCCTTCCCCCCTTCCTCCCCTTCCCCTGACACCCCAACGCGCCTGAGGCTCGGCTCCACGGTGGCCGCCTTCGGCGTGGACCCGCTGCTGGAGGACGGGCGCCTGGAGCCTGCGGCCACGCGGGGCGCCGCGCTCGCTGGAGGCGCCCCCCGGTCATTTTTTGGGCCCAAAGGGTGAAGACGGTGTGTCACACGGGGTGTGTTGGTTGCGCAGTTTCTTTTTGGGCTACTCTGTTTTTGTGGGAGTTGTTTTTTCTCAAGATGGCGGATCCTCTTTTGGTTGGTATAAAAGGAAATCAGAAGGAAACCAGCCATTTCCGAGGGCCTCGATTGTGAGAAAGAGCCTAAACGGACAACAGGGACAGTTCTCTAGGTGTCTATTGGAGCGATTGGAAAGCCGCGACTGTGGCTCTGCTCGACTGGCTCAGGGGTGGCCATCTCAGTGGTGGCAGGCGAGGTTGAGCCCTTCATTGCGCTGGCGGTGCACTGCTTAGCACAGTTTGCTTGGATACAGAGGGGATTTGGGTGTGGCTCAAAATTAAACAGGAGGGGTTACGCAGGTTTTGGTCCATATTTCCACTTACCAGGGTTCCATTTTGGTTCCGGTTTTTTGAGCCACAGCCATTTGGGCGTGGCTCGAAAAAAGGCAATCCCCAATATCGCACCCTGGTAAATGGAACCGAACACTACAACCTTCGTAACCCTAGCTGCTTGATTTTGAGCTGCACCTATTTCTGTGCGATTTGACAAGTAAGGAACTTTCTGCAATCCTCTCGGGTGCAAAATGCAAGAGAACGCAACGCCAAGTTTTGCTACCAATCAGTTGCGAGCGGCACATTATCTTGCAACGATGGACATCAGCCATGGCAGATGAGATTTAGGATAAACCAACAAAGCTTGTTCTGTGCAGAGAGCAACGTTAATTCAGAGATCCGCATGATGCTTCTCTCTGTGTGAGCACAGTTATGATTCTTTGCAGACAAGGAATTCTGTCAGCATTGGTGCAGCCTATGCTTTCCAAATTTATCCCAAGAGGTACAACTTCGGTTTCAGTCGCCAGGCACCACTCTGCCAACATAGGGACAAGGAAAAATGGGTTCCAATCTCCAGAGCTTGCCTCTGAGCATCCGAGTATCAACGCTTCAGGGGGTTCACCAAGTCAAGGGTCTCCAAAGGGAAGCAAGACATGCTGTTCAAGTTGAATATGAGCGGCATGCGCTCCTGGAAGGTCAAGCAGAGGTACACTGGCTCAGCCAAGCAGGCAGTAAGCATCGGATGCGACTGAAGGATGTTCAGTCCCAGCCACATGGTTGCTTTAACTTTGACATAGAAGTTGGGCATGCACAAAAACTTCAAAACAAGGTAACACTCAGCAAGCGGATGAAATGGTACGTGCAGAAGGCGTGGAATCCAAACTCAGGTCCGTGTCCGCTTCCATAATCTCAGAATCTCAAGAGCCAGGAGCAGCATCAACGCATCCCACGCTTTTAAGCGGGAATTCTCGGATACCCTGGACAAAGTACGTCCTTCGAACAAGAGACTCTCATCCAAAGTTCTTCTTGGTGCAGGTGCCGCGCGCGGCCAACAGCAACCGTTCGCCTGACTTTTGGACTTTTGGGCTTTTGGGCGCGGACGCGCCTTTGCGCCTTTGCGCCTTTGCGCCCGCGGCTCTGAGGTGGGTTGCCTGTCAGGTGGCATGGCCACGTGTGGCCTGCGCTTCGCCTCGCGGGAGCTGGACACCTGCGGGGTGCTCTTCGTGCACGGCCTGCCTGCCGTCCTGGGAGGGCCGGGGGCCTCGCCTCGGGGCCTCGGGCTCGGGGAAAGGGCGCACCGATGGTGTGTTTGGACGGCCCCTATGGCGGCAGGAGCCGAAACCGGAGCAAGAAAGCAGAAAGCCAATGGTTGTTCAGCTGAGAAATGGCGAAACGAAAGATCGGAGAAGCTATCGGCGCTGTTGGAGACCCCTGGCAGGGCAAATATCACAGCCGTTCGAATCCGGAATCTGTGGAACGCGTGCAATTTCACGTGAGCGATGCGTCCCGATTTTTGCATGTGCTTAGTATTCTCCATTCAAGGCTACTGCTTGATTTCGGTCGACATCGACATGCATAGCAGCTTGGTCCAGAGCGTGCGTTAAACAAATCAGGCATGAGCGCTTAGCAAAGTGTGTGTGTGTGTGTGTGTGGCGCACTCAGGCAAGACCTGCGTGCGCGCTGCGTGTGATCCCCAACCCCCCCGTCCCATGCCTATGCAGGCAGACAACTGGAAATACTGAAATTGGACAAACAATGTCCAACTCCCCTGGACACAGGGGCCTGCGCCCAGCAAGGAAGCATGTGGCGCACAGTCGCGCATTCATGGTCGGGGGAATGACAACACCAGACTCCAATGACAATGCGGGAACATCGAACCAAATCTGTTGATTTGCAAGAATCTAGCAGAAGGACATGCCAATGCGAGAACAAGATGCCATTGCATAGTTTCGATGAGGCAAAGCCCCTGCATCCGTCGTGTGTGCGTGCATCATTTGTAAGAGCGATAGTACTCTTTCAATATCTATTGGGTTGTAAAGCCATTGATCGAAAAGCGTTACTCGTGCTGTGCTCAGGCTGGTCTCTGTGCTTGTGCCTATCCTGGGAGGTGACTCTGGCATATCTGCAGGAAATCAGGCGTTCGGCCTGTGTGGAACGCTTCTGTGCCTGGGCTTCATCATGATGAAATACTTATGAGTCCTATTTGTCCCTCTCTGTCTCTCTTTCCTCGAGTGGGGCCGAGGCTGGCCTCCCTGTGTGGGGCGTGCTGCGGCCAGCTGCTGCGGTCCCTGCACTCGGTGCAGCTGGGCTTCAGCGACGAGCTGCGCTGGGCCTGCTCCGAGGAGACGAATGGAAGGGGAAACGTGGTTTTGGGGGAGAATAGGGATGTCAAGAAATGAGCATTGGTCAAGATGAAACCAACAAAAAAGCAGGTTTTGGTCATTGTTTCCATTTACCAGGGAGAGTAGTGTTGACCTTGGATTCATAAACCCACGTTTATTAATATGGGGGTGTCCCTGGTTTTAGTGGGGAGTTATCACTTTTGGAGGGGAACACTTTTGGAGGGGTCAACATTAGGGATTTCGAGAAATGGGGAGAATGTGAGAAAGAGAAGGGGAATTCGAGAGAGATGGGATTGGCGCGGGTGTTTTCTTTCGGTTTGGGAGACGTCCAGGACATTTCGAAGGGTAAAGATTGTGCGAGGCAAGCGTAGGTGAAAGTAGAGTAAAGGTTTGATGCCAGTAATCAAATTGTACGGTTCAAGAGAAGGGAAGGCGTGCGAGACGATGACAAGTAACAGAAGCGAGTGCGCACACTATATTCCATGGATTCCGATCACTTCAAAAGCTGCGTCAAGAGGGGCCAATCATGCACTGTCAGCTTGACCATACTATGACCAGGACTTCTTTTTGACCATATTTGTAGCGTTTCTGTTTCATGACGAGTTGGGTTGCAGCATGTGTTGGATGATTTTACAACTGCTGCCAAGCTCTGGAGGACTTGCCGCGTGGCATTCTGAGCCTCTAGTCCATTTGGTGGTCTCAAACTGGGCTTGCTCTACACGGAGACGGTCTCCTTTGTGGTATTCAATTGCAACCCATAGATGTTTCCCATCCTGAGACAGAACTAGTTGATTAGATAGATTTCTGACCAAAGTGTCAGACAGTGAACTTGGTTAATGTACCTCGTGCCGCTCAAAGAAGTTGGTGCAAGCTCGGCAGCGAAAGTGTTGCTGACATACATTGCAAATGCTTTGACCGTTGTGGTCTTTCAAGCGCAGCTTGTGGTAGACAGTCAAAAGGATTTGAGGGACGCACCTGCGCGCCCGCATCTTCCAAGGATTCGCCACTCAAGTCGCCTCGTAATAATCGGAGCACCAAGTTGGTGGAAATTGGTGGCCACACTTCTCACTGGCCCGACAGCGTGAACATTTGTAGAGCATAGCTCCTTTGCACCTCATAACAAGACCTCACAAGACCTGGTGGCATTCACATTGATCCCATGTTTCGGTGACCTGCAGAGTCTGGCTACAGGTTTAGTGGAGATCGCTTTCGGCGCCAGCTTTTCAGCCGATCTGAACAACAGCCAGGGCGGCCCCCTTTGGTCCACAGCGTCTTTCGGGATTGACATGGTGAAATTTTGATTACCTCGCGTAGAGGAAGGATGCTCTTTGTTTTGGTCTATTCATGAGCAATCCCCCAAACCCTGGTGCTCAGATCGCAAGCCCGGCAGGCCCCAAGCACTCGAAAGAACTTTGCTCAGCTGCCAGCGGTGCCATGACATGCGTGCTTTGGCCTCGTTGCGCAGGCGTGGGGAGTGCATTTTTGGAAGTTCGCGACCTTACGTGGTGTACAAACACATGGGCATAAATTGACTGGGGACCCTTTGGTGAACATCATTTAGGTGGGGATTCATGTCCACCAATCACTTTTGAGGTGGTTCCCTATTGAAACTCATAGCCACACTTTATCCACCCAAGTATCAGTTTGGGGGCCTCACTGAGAAACACGTGTCACAATACACATGCCCCGACTTTGCGGGTGTTGGGAGCCGTTCATGCAGCGCATGTCTTGGGACAGGAGATGCGTGGGCTATCGCTGTGCCGCCTCGGCGGCGCTTGCCCCTTGCCAGACATGTGGTGATCTGAGAGATGCAACAGCATGACCAACTCGAAACGGGAATCTCAGATCTTGGGGATGTTTGACGCACCATATTCCATACTCGGACGTTGAAGGTCAAGGGGCATGTGCTGCAAATGCGGCCTCTTTGTCAACAAAATGGGTGCCAATTTCAAAAGATCACAAACGCCAACACACAGACAGACATACAGACACCAATCTCAAAAGTCGCAAACGCCAACATACACGCACGCACATTCATGAATCTCGAAGGATCGCAAACAAGACACACAGACACCAAACGCCAACACACACACGAGCAGACATGCAGACACCCATCTTAAAAGATCACAGTCGCCGACACAAACACACACACACACACACCCACACGCCCACACCCACCCACCCACCCACCCACCCCCACACCCACACACACCCACACACCCACACCCACACACACACACACACACACACACACACACACACACACACACACACACACACACACACACACACACACACACACACACACACACACACACACACACACACACACACACACACACACACACACACACACACACACACACACACACACACACACACACACACACACACACCACACACACACACACACACACACACACACACACACACACACACACACCACACACACACACACCACACACACCACACACACCACACACAACACCACACACACACACACACACACACATTTATTACACACACACATTACACACACAACATACACACACACACACACATACACACATACATACTTTTACTTTTATTTACCTTTCCTGCAAGCCCCTGTGGCCACCCTGCGTGCCTGTGTGCCCAGCCTGGCCACCTGCCTTCCCTGCCTTCTGCCTTCCTAACCCTACCTTCCCTACGACCTGCAACCCACCTACATCAAAACCCTGATATTACGGCCCTGCCACACGCACACCTGCACAACCACACCTGCCTTTCACTGTGTACCTACTTGTACGCCACACACGCACACACACTGCACACACACACGGCCACCTATCTATGCACACCATCTCCACACGTACACACGCACACAGCACCTGTCACTGTGTAATAGAGAAAGTCCAAGCTGTTGGGCCCTCGCACACACGCACACCTGCACACACGCACACACGCACACACGCACACACGCACACACCTGCTTTCTCGCACACACTCACACACGCACACACGCACACACTGCAGCCACACACTGCACACACGCACACACGTACACTACCTTCACACGCGACACCATACTCGGCCACCACATCGCATTACACAGATACACCATGCACGCATACACATTTATACCACGCACCACGCACACACCCATACGCATATTACGCCTGCACGTGCACTGCATACACGCATACACGCACCACGCTGCATGCCACCGCATTACCCACGCACACATCGTGACACCACGCATACACGTGACAGCAGTGTTGTGCACGCACACACGGCCACACGCACATACGGCACACACAACACACGTTCACATGATAACACGTGTGCCTGTGTTATACCTGTGACCTTAAACACATAACCTTCTTTCACGTCTATAACGTATAGCCTGCCTGTGCACAAGATACGTGACAGATATCGCCAGACAGCGCCTTCAGCCTATCGGCCATCGCCGTATTATCAGCAGCGCCATACGCCACATACCTTCGGCCTTCAGCGCACGTATACCTACAGCGCCACACGCACCCAGCACTTAGCTGCGACTTACACACGCCACAGACTTCGCCACGCCCCGCCCCGCTCCTCCACGCGCCGCGCACGCCAGCGCCAAGATTCGATTCTAGACGATGACGATCCCCGCGCCCCTCGCAGATTCCCCGCGCCCCCGACGCCCCGCCCCCCTCAGACCCGGCGCACCCACGGCACCCGCGCATACCCCGCGCCCCGGCACCCCGGCGCATTAGCATCCAGCACCGGCTCAAGCCCCAGCTCAGCAGCCCCAGATACCCCGCGCCCGGCGCCATCCAAGGCGCCCGGCATCCCCAGGCACCCCGCGCCGGCGCCCCCAGCGCCCGGCACCCCCACGCGCCCCGCGCCCCCGCGACACGCCAGCGCCCCCCGTTTAGCACCCCCGCCATTTACGCCAAGGCACGCCACAGACAAGCAGCAGACGCTGCTAAGATGCCAGCACGCCCCCGGCGCCCCCGCACGCGACGCGCCCCCCACGCGCAAGGCCCGCACAAGAGACGCCCCAGCGCCCGGCACAAGACGCTGCGCCCCGCGGCACCCCGCCAAGACGCTGGCCAAGACGCACATCGCTACAAGACGCGCCAAGCACCCGAGCGCCAGACACCTGCAGACATCGCTAAGACAAGACACGCACATCGTCAAGACATCGCTGCACATCGCCAAGACACGCGCACATGCGCACGCGCGCGCGCACCTAATTGCCTCGCACATAGCACCTTAACACCGCCGCGCACCAGCCCCCATGCCCTACCAATGACTGCTTTCCACTTCCTTTCTGACCTTCTATGACATGTGATTCTCTGATGATGTCCATAGCCTTCTCCATTTCTCTCCATTCCTTCTGTTCTCTGATGACATATGATTCTGATACATGACATCCATATTGACCATGACCATGATATGTTATTATGATGATATATGATCATATGATGATATTGATATATGATGATGTATCAACCATGATATCCATATGATGACCACTTGTTGTTCAATGATATGTGTGTACTCTGTTATTATATATTATTAATGTTACACATCTGTGTGTGCCAACCTGCGCGAGTGAATGAGTGACACCTCTGCTTTCACAGCTGAACAAGAGTATACATATGCTCTGCTCTGTATTTTCTGTATATTATGCACACGCGTGTACGCGCACACGCGCACACGCGCACACGCGCACACGCGCACACGCGCACACGCGCACACGCGCACACGCGCACACGCGCACACGCGCACACGCGCACACGCGCACACGCGCACACGCGCACACGCGCACGCACACAGGCACCAATCTCAAAAGATCGCAAATGACAACACGCACACACACTGACATCACCAATCTCAGAAGATCGCAAACACCAACACGCAGACATACAGACACCAATCTTAAAAAAAGTCGCAGACGCCACCACGCACACACAGACATGCAGACACCAATGTCAAAAGATCGCAAACGCCAACACACACACACACGCCCGGACATAAAGACACCAATCTCCAAAGATCGCAAACACCAACACACGCGCACAGAGATACAGACACCAAATCTCACGAAATTGCAAACGCCAACACACAGACAGACGTACAGAGAAATCTCACAAAAACGCCAACGCCAACACACACAGACATACAGACACCAATCTTAAAAGATCGGAAGCGCCAACACGCACACAAACAGACACAAACAGACACAACACACATACAGACACGCAGACCCACACATTTATACTTTTTTTCTTCTCCAATCGATGCGCAGCTTGCGGCTGGCGGCTTGCTGATCAGAGGTACCCAGAGGCCCGAGGAGTGTCCTCAAAGAGAGCGCTTCAGTGCCGGCAAGGAGCGAGGCAGCGTGGGGCCCAATTTCACCATGGCTATGAACATGCTGTTGCGTTTCAGGCTCCATGCAAGTGTGGAGAAGTGTAGCTGAAAAGCTGAAATGACCTGGGCAGTCGTGACTCAGCCCGCTTCTTGCGACAACAAAGGGACACTTGAGACCCCGGCTCTTGCCAGAGCACCTTTTTCTCTCCCCCTTTAGTGGCAAGCACCTGGCAAATGGTTGATGGGCGTGAATCAGCATGTAAATCATATCCGAAGGGATCAGCCAGGGGGCCTAAAGGGTTCAGCCTTTTGCTCTTCTCCAGGACGCAGGCTGGTCGGGTGCAATATTGGATCAGTGCAGCTTGCCTGATACCGAGGAGAGCAACTTTTCAGCCATTGCCACGTAGGAGAGCAGCAAAGTACGAGGGAGTGCAAAAGAAAGGATCCCTCTTTGGACGGTGTTGCAAGGGAAAACAATTGGAAGCCAGCCACTTTCACGGGCCACGGGGCGGCTCTTCGCACATCGCTTCACTTGGCGGACTTGTTTTGGTCTCACATAGGCCCGGCACTGACAACGTTGCACGTGGCCAACAGATTGTAGCGTTCTCAAGTGCACCTTTCAAAGTGAACAGGCACAGGTGTGACAGAAAACAACTCAATTTGATTCTCAATGTAAAAATGAAGAAGGCCAAGGCTTTCAGCAGCATGGCAGATTTTCCGCTTGCCTTTCTGTGCAGGCCGAGGGCCGCCGGGCCAAGCGAAGGAGACGCGCAAGAGAGGAAGAGGAGGCTCGGAGTGTTGGCCATTTGGATTATGGGAGTGCAGAGAGTCTGGAAGCTGTTTGATGTTGGTTGCACAAGGGTGGCACAGCCCCCAAGCCCAAAAGGCGCGCGTGTCTCGGGTTCAGGTCGAGGAGCCACTGCACTTCGACCTGCCTCGACGTCTCACCAAGCAGGCGGGTTAGCGTGAGTCGCAGGTGCGATGGTTCACGCGCTCTCGCCTCCCTTTCTCCCTTCCAGTTGGAAGCAAGTGAGGACCGCTTCAAGACTTTAAGAGAGCTTCAGAGAGGCTGGATGTGATTCCCAACAGTCTTTGCCTTTCCATTTTTGTCCATCCTGACATGAAAGATTGAATCAGCCTTCTTGAAAGGGAAGCAAGGACACTAATTACTGCACTGCTTGCTGGCTTGGGAGCAACTTTTGATTCTGGGCAATGCGCTTTGGCTGTGTATGAGGTGGTTTGACTACTTTCAGGTTATTTCCTACGGGCCCGAGCCACGATCCCATGCACATGGTGGCCGATCAAACCGGATGTTTGCAGAAAGAGGTGGCAATTTCAAGATACCTTTTGAAAGGCAGCAATCCAATCCCATGAGCTGAGGATCATTAAGAGGCTATGCCTCAAAATGGGAGAACCCTTTTAAGAAGATTCGGGTTTCCCACAGATTTCCCTCCAACCCCAAAGGCACCAGTGCCAAAAGCAAGGATTCCCTGGACTGGGTTGGGCAAATCTGGTGTAATCGCTACCCATGGCCATCTCAAAGGGGGATCCAAAAGGACGTGTGCCCTCTCTCCCACGTTGCCATGGTACTTGTGGAGGGAACCCCCGGTGGGGTGCAATGGCAACATGGGAGGAAGGGTAACTTCCATGTGCTGAATAATATTTATATTATTCCCCTGTTAGTTTGAAAGGGGGTTTATGACTACTGAACTTTTTTTTGGTATGTTTTCCATGGGGCGAAAACGCGAATGGAAGGTAAATAATTGGTGGTTTTCGGCGCCCGAGCCTTTGGCCAGGAGCGCCAGGAGGTCCGAGAAGAGCTCTCCACGGCTCTCTCCGCGCTGAGCGAGGCGCGACGGGCCGAGGTCAGTTGATCTTTTCCTTTTTGGGTCGGCTCCACTTCGTCACTTTTTGATTGCCAATTGCGGGCTTTTCGAGCTTTGCTCTTGGGGAACTGTGAGTCTGAGCTTCTCTCTTTGGATGTTTGACGCGGGAACGTCTCAGGAAGCATGACCGCATTTTCAACATGTTTTTCTAGCAAATAATCTGTCTTCATATAATTTCCGAAATTTTGAATTCTAGTAATAAATAAATACACATAATTTTGATTGGGAACGTCCTGAATCACTTTCTCCTCACTTTTTTTTTTGAAGGTTACATCCAAGATAAATAGTCACTTTGGAAAGGATATGAAGGCAATGATAAAAGATACACAAAGGGAAAAGATAATATGAACGAAGACAAAGTAAAGAGCAATAGCATATCATTTCTGTATCTCTTCCTCGCTTACCTCGGACATTCTTGAATTGTCTCCCTTCGGTCCTTCCGTCTCTCCCTCACCTTCTCCCTGTGACCCAGATGGGTCACCGACGTAGGAAGGGAGGAGGTGCCAAGGATCAGGGAAGCGTCTCAGAGATAGCTGTATAAGTGCACCCATCCTATCTACTACCTCTCTATCCCAGACCAAGCGCTGGAACGAGCTGGGGATGGGATGGCAATGACCGAGGGAATGAACGTTGAAGCAAGGAATGATCAAAGGAAAACAGATTGATTGTCTTCTCTCATTCTCCTATCTATATCTTCTCCTTATAATTCCTCAATTTAATGAGAGATGTCACTTCTCTTTCTTCATCCTTGAGTTTCCCGAGCGACGAGAGGTAAGGAGATGCCAAGGAAAGAGGACATGACCTTCTCACCAGCCATTTCTCTCTTCTTGGCTGGTAAGGATGGTGTGTCATCTCTTTCACATCCTACTTCTCTATCCCTCACCTGCCATCACTTGGGTGATGAATTGGCAGGACAGGGTAGGATGTGAAGGATGCGAGTGAGAGATGAATGAGGAGGTCTGTCCTTCCAAGTCATTCCTCATTCCTTTCCAGTCGTTGCCCTCTCCGTTAGTTGCTAGCGGCGACCTGCGCGTTCTACCCAGATATTATTCTTTTCAGGGAAAAAGTTTCTAACCTGGGAATATGTGTGCACACCAAGTTATGCACTATCTCGAGGGCGGCTATTTGCAACTTTCTTTGTCCTCCCGCAACCGCTTGCCGAAATGTGTTGCTTGTCGCGGGGAATGACATCACAGGTGCAACGGCGGCACTACCATGAGGCAACCACTGGATTCAAGAGCTGACCCCTAAACCGTCTTGTACTCCACCCTGAGTCCTCTCGCCTTGAGTCAAGTGTGCATGTACAGGGCTCCCTATACGTCCCTTTTTTTCGTGGTTTGACACATCACTTGTTTGGCCCATGAAAGGTGAGTATTCCTTGGTGGGGATACTGTTTTAAGGAGAAATATAGGGAGCCCTGATGGAAGTTTGCTCCAGGCCCTTCAGATTTTTCTTTTTTTGGGCACCATTTGACCGAGCTCTTGGCAGGTGCAGGCGGTGCCCAAGAGGGCCCAGGCGCGAATTCAATTCCGTGGCTTCTTTGCATGACCGAGCTATCACAAGAACCCTCTCCCCCATTTTTTTCCATTGTGGCATTCTGGCGATCTAAGCGCTGCGCCATGACCCTCTCCCCCACAAATAGATCTTTAAGGATTCCAACCATTGTGTGAAGGATTTGATGTGGTTCTTCCTTTCTTCGGCTCACGATTGCGGTTGAAAAAGAGACCGGTGGTATGCACTGGATAAGTTTTTTTTTGTATAGGGCATACTCCTTATTCTTGGAACTTGGCTCGATTTTTGTAATCTAGGGATGATATTTATCGTAGGTCAGCTTGGATTTCCGGTCCTCAGTGTCGCGGCAGCTGACGTAGACACGTCCTGAGGCATAGCTGCCGTGTACTGATAGGGGGCCATCGCTGTTGGGACGTGATGGGTGAACAGATGAGACCTTTGTGCTTGCAGGAGATTGCACCGGCAGAACTACGCCTGCGCACAAAGGCCCGCGCCGGGAGGAGTTCGTGGTCTGAATGCATGAGCAGTTCATCGATTTGCATGCAGCATGCAGCCATGCTTGAAGGGGTATTTTTGCAGATTGACTATGTCTTGGACGCCTGCATTTGTCAATGCGCAGCAAGGGCACTACGTGACAGGTCTTGACTTTTGAGCACAGCACCCATCCGAATTTTTGAGAGTTTTCTTGGTGGACTCCGTTGCACCCTTTTGCATGAAGCCGATCTGTCGAAAGTTCCTCAGGTTCCATGGCCCCCAGGTGCCCCTGATCTCCACGGAGCTTCGCGTTGGTGCAGGGCCGGTGGAGCTTGCCAGGGTGTGGGGCCAAAGCATCCATTGACTTCATCGGTTCATTTGCGAGGCCGTAGTCTACTTGTACATGTGGGTCTGTTTTTTTTTCAGGTACGCCTTTCTTTGTGGTTCTGAAGGGAAACCAAGAGGACACCACCATTTTTGGGGGTGCGCTAAAAAAGACACCCATGTTGCTTCGTCCATACTTGCAATGAGTCCCAGGGTGAAAGCACCGACTTATCTTGAAGGTAACCCTGACAGGTGGTCGTCGAGAGAGAAGGCGTGATTGCATGTTTTGGTCCCTGTGGCTTCTTCTCTCAACATCGGAGCCCTTTGCCGCGCTTGCCTCCCTTCGAATCGCCGCGGCTGACTTGTTTGGCTTCCAGACAACACAACCCATACAGGAAGGGCGCCTCAAAAGGAGGCGCCAAACTGGGAGTCGAAGCCATTTGAAGCCAAGGCGAAAAGTCGAAGCCAAGGCTCGCCTCACCGAGGTGCTCCAGCTGCTGATGGAGGCCTTCGATGCGGCGGAGCTGGAGCTGAAGGCCATGCGATGTGACGGTCTTGGAATTTGGCCGTGGGTCAACGCCAATGGGATCCCATGTTGGGGAAGGCGAATTCACCACCCATTTTAGTCTATCTTAGTGGGGATTGGGATGTTCACGCGATTTTGACCCATGACCGTTTGATTTGGCCCCAAACGTGGACTTCGGATGTGGGGCCTCCCGGAAAGAAAATAAACTCCAGCCACAAACAGGGGATCCCCCAAAAAGCTGCCGAGCGGGTTTTGGAAGACGAAGGGGTGTCCTTTTGTGTTTGGAAGCCCGAAAGGCAATTTCTGTTGTTGGAAAGAGGGTAGTATCACATAAACATATCACTGTGCCTGTATACACATTGCCAACTTGATGGGCTTGTAGATTACGCAAAAGAAACATTCCAAAGCATCATGCCCAAAGCATCATGCCCTTGCAAGATTTCTGGTGGATTCCTACCTGCTGAGCACCAGGCATGCTGGATTGTGTGCTTGGACGGGTATGGCAAAATTGGCCCGTTTTGGTCAGATAATTTGGCTTGAGGCAGAGGTTGCTTGCCGCTCAACGCTTGGCTCTGAAGCGTTTCTCGTTGTTTGATGTGTGCAGACTTCAGCAAAAGTGGAAGCCCAACTCCCTGCTAGGGTATGGATGATGGGCAAGGGTCTTTGTGACACACGTTTTGCATGCAAAGCCAAGCTGGCAGGAGCGAGGACGCTTCATCTCGGGTGAGTACCGTCAAATGCTGGTGGAGGAGCGACTACTTCTTTCAGATGTCAGGGCTTGAGGCTGTAGTTGACTGGCAGGCTCTAAGCCGAGATGCTAACTCAAGTCCACATGATGCAAGTGAGTTGGCTATTCTGCTGAATGCCTCTTCTGCTCTTGGTACAGTGCTGATTGTGAAAAACCAACTCATCCCTTCATTAACACTGTAACAACTCGTTTCTGATATTCTGCTTGACCTTCGAGTTGCTTCTCATTGGATACTCAGCCTTCCATGTCAACTTTGAGGGCTCGGAACCTTTCAAGCTGAATGGCTTCTCTTCACGTTCGTTGTTCTCTTCATCACTCCCACCAATATCCCATTCCTGAACATATTCTTACTACACAAGAGTCGCCAGCATTTGACTCCCCCTAAACACCATTAAATTTGTGAAGGATGGACTTTTCACAAAGACCCCATGCCGCTTCATGTCCGGCCGCTTTGGGGTTTCCCCGCGCCTAGGACCAGGGAGAGGCGGGCGTGGCAGCAGCCCTGCGCAGGGCCGCATCCCTGCGGCGGGTCTTGGCACCCGAGGCAGAGGGAGGACCGGTGACCTGTGGTGGAATGATGCCGCATCGGTACACAAGATGCCGCCTCGGGAAAGGGGGCCCTTCAAGCAGATTCTGCCACGGGAGTTCCATGCATTTGCAGGCGTGAAGTTTGGAAGTGGAAGGGTTGGGGCAAGTCCTGGCCCATTTGCCAGTGAAAGTGTAAAGCTGGTGAAGAGAGAGCCAAAGCGAAGGCTTCTTGTTGTGCAAGTTGTGCCCCTTTCTCGTTGTGGTTGAGTTGTTCGCATGTTGGCCATAGCCGAATGTCGCGCAGAGAAGAGCCAAGGTCATATCAAAAACCAAGGGCAGTCGATGCTTCCAGATTCGGCTCCAAACCACCCATTCGGCTGGGGGGGAAGCTGGCTGTTGCTTCAAGGCGCTGGCGGCCTCCGCGCGCTTGTGCCTGGTCTTGCGGGGCCCAGCGCTGGCGCTGGGAGAGGTGATGCTGGAGGCATGGGGGGCGGAGGGGGGGAAGGGGGGAAGCTCAAAGCTGGCAGGTCAAATGTGAGTTTCTCTTGGGCAAGCTCAAGGAATGAGGTTCTCCTGTTGGCTGGCATTCTCAACCTCCGAAACCAGGCAACACCTGCATTGCATTTTTAAGAAGCAACATGGGATGTTGCTTGTCTCATGCTCTTCGCATCACACCTTACGTGCCCTACTCGCACCGTTTCGCGCAGAAATGTCTGTTGTATTGACCTCGTCTTTTGACATGCAAGTGAACCTAGTACTCGCGAGCCGAAACTAAGGTCTAAAGAAGAAAACGTATTTCTGTGCAAGTGAAAGTGTGCGAGTAGGGCGCGAGATTGTTCGAGTCACTCGCCTGCTCGTCCGTCCGCTCGCCCGTTCCACTCGCACACTCGCACAGTCCACTCGCGCACTTGCACACACTACTCGCACACTCGCACGCAGGGTGTTTGGAGGGTACTCGCGCAGGAACTATCATATTGGTATTTTAGAACCTCTTGGATCTTATACAATCAAGTGGCTACAGGTGTCTTTTCCAGTTGAAACATATTGGCGATGGAATGTAACTCAATGCAGAATTAAGCAAACATTGTGTCTGCTTTGTTCTCGGTTTGTTTCCAAATTGATTTTCTTGCGACCATGTATATATCTTCAACATTTGGGCTCAAGGCCTTTATTATTAGTCTCATCAGTAGCTACATCTAGAACTTCCTCAACACCCATCACTTGATACTTCCTTATCGGTTCTGGGATAGATCCCAGGACATAGTGCACCGTGACAGTAGCGGGCTTATGCAAAACAAATCATGTTGTTTGTTGATCATGTCATGTCAACATACGATACATCGGAAAGGAAGTGCCATGAGCCAACAGCAGAAGCTGTCGTCAGTCGAACAAATGTTTTCGACACAGAGGGCAAAGACATGCCGTGAGAGAATAACTAAGCTGCTTCGCAGGCACTGATTCCACACGTGGTGCGGAGCTCAGGTGTCAACAAATGGGGTTGTTGCTTCAAAAGATGCAAAAAGGAACAGGCCATGCTGCAACGACCGACCTGTGTGAGCAGTGCGGTTCGAGCACGGTGTGCGCGGTCAAGCGACCTGGAGGGCACACTCGCACAGCAGAAGTTGAAGCTTTGCATGAAATTCACATGAGAGGCAAACCTCCCACGCGGCACGAGTTGACATCAGCTTGAAGCCAAGACAAGCAAGGCCAACGCTGGATTTGTGGGCGTTGACAAAGGGGCGCAACAGAGGTTCAGGTTTGCTGCATGGAGGCTCGATAGACGTTCCTGGCCCGACCAACGGTCTGTGTGTGCGGACTCATCGCACATGTCAACAAACCTGTCGTGCCAAAGCAGGAGTGCACTGTCGCACAGCCCAAGTTGTGCTTTTGTCAATTGGGCTGTTGAAGCTTTGCATGAAATTCACATGAGAGGCAAACCTCCCACACGGCACGAGTTGACATCAGCTTGAAACCAAGACAAGGCCAACGCTGGATTTGTGGGCGTTGACAAAGGGGAGCAACAGAGGTTCCGGTTTGCTGCATGGAGGCTCGATATACGTTCCTGGCCCGACTAACGGTCTGTATGTGCGGACTCATCGCACATGTCAACAAACCTGCGGTGCCAAAGCAGGAGTACACTGTCGCGCAGCCCAAGTTGCGCTTTTGTCAAGTGGGCTGTTGAAGCTTTGCCTGACAGTCACATAAGAGGCAAGCAGCCAAGCGACTCAAGTCGACATCAGCTTGAAGCCAAAGCGAACGTCGGACTGTGAGCCTTGACAGAGAGGCACAAGCGAGCTTCAGGTTTGCTACATGAAGGGTCGATATGTTCCTGGCCCGACTAACGGTCTGTGTGTGCGGACTCATCGCACATGTCAACAAACCTGCGGTGCCAAAGCAGGAGTGCACTGTCGCACAGCCCAAGTTGTGCTTTTGTCAAGTGGGCTGTTACTATGCGAGGCCGAGACTAAAACCAACTGACTGTTGAAGGCACCCACAGTAACATACGCCTGCCCAAAGGATCCCGCAAAAGTCTTTAGCGAGCAGAATGTTGCTGAGCAATGCACAGGATGCAGCGCACAAACGCCTTCAGTAAGCAAGAATTGGTTCAAACTGATTCGCAGAGGGTGCAAGCAAGCTTCGGGTTTGCTACATGAAGGGTCGATATGTTCCTGGCTCGACCAACGGTCTGTGTGTGCGGACTCATCGCACATGTCAACAAACCTGTCGTGCCAAAGCAGGAGTGCACTGTCGCACAGCCCAAGTTGTGCTTTTGTCAAGTGGGCTGTTGAAGCTTTGCACAAGAATCGCATTAGAGGCAAACAGCGAAGCGACTCAAGTCGACATCAGCTGGAAGCCAAAGAGAACGTCAGACTGTGAGCTTTGACAGAGCGGTACAAGCAAGCTTCAGGTTTGCACATGAAGGGTCGATATGTTCCTGGCTCGACCAACGGTCTGTGTGTGCGGACTCATCGCACATGTCAACAAACCTGTCGTGCCAAAGCAGGAGTGCACTGTCGCACAGCCCAAGTTGTGCTTTTGTCAATTGGGCTGTTGAAGCTTTGCACGACATTCACATGAGAGGCAAACAGCCAAGCGACTCAAGTCGACATCAGCTGGAAGCCAAAGCGAACGTCGGACTGTGAGCCTTGACGGAGAGGCACAAGCGAGCTTCAGGTTTGCTACATGAAGGCCATGAAGGGTCGATATGTTCCTGGCTCGACCAACGGTCTGTGTGTGCGGACTCATCGCACATGTCAACAAACCTGTCGTGCCAAAGCAGGAGTGCACTGTCGCACAGCCCAAGTTGTGCTTTTGTCAATTGGGCTGTTGAAGCTTTGCACGACATTCACGTGAGAGGCAAACAGCGAAGCGACTCAAGTCGACATCAGCTGGAAGCCAAAGAGAACGTCAGACTGTGAGCCTTGACAGAGAGGCACAAGCGAGCTTCAGGTTTGCTACATGAAGGGTAAATATGTTCCTGGCTCGACCAACGGTCTGTGTGTGCGGACTCATCGCCCATGTCAACAAACCTGTCGTGCCAAAGCAGGAGTGCACTGTCGCACAGCCCAAGTTGTGCTTTTGTCAAGTGGGCTGTTGAAGCTTTGCACGACATTCACATGAGAGGCAAGCAGCCAAGTGACTCAAGTCGAGATCAGCTGGAAGCCAAAGAGAACGTCAGACTGTGAGCATTGACAGAGAGGCACAAGCGAGCTTCAGGTTTGCTACATGAAGGCCATGAAGGGTCGATATGTTCCTGGCTCGACCAACGGTCTGTGTGTGCGGACTCATCGCACATGTCAACAAACCTGTCGTGCCAAAGCAGGAGTACACTGTCGCACAGCCCAAGTTGTGCTTTTGTCAATTGGGCTGTTGAAGCTTTGCGCGACATTCACATGAGAGGCAAACAGCTAAGCGACTCAAGTCGAACTCAGCTGGAAGCCAAAGCAAACGTCGGACTGTGAGCCTTGACGGAGAGGCACAAGCGAGCTTCAGGTTTCCTACATGAAATGTCGATATGTTCCTGGCTCGACCAACGGTCTGTGTGTGCGGACTCATCGCACATGTCAACAAACCTGTCGTGCCAAAGCAGGAGTGCACTGTCGCACAGCCCAAGTTGTGCTTTTGTCAATTGGGCTGTTGAAGCTTTGCACGACATTCACATGAGAGGCAAACAGCCAAGCGACTCAAGTCGACATCAGCTGGAAGCCAAAGCGAACGTCGGACTGTGAGCCTTGACGGAGAGGCACAAGCGAGCTTCAGGTTTGCTACATGAAATGTCGATATGTTCCTGGCTCGACCAACGGTCTGTGTGTGCGGACTCATCGCACATGTCAACAAACCTGTCGTGCCAAAGCAGGAGTGCACTGTCGCACAGCCCAAGTTGTGCTTTTGTCAATTGGGCTGTTGAAGCTTTGCACGACATTGACATTAGAGGCAAACAGCCAAGCGACTCGAGTCGACATCAGCTTGAAGCCTAGGTGAACGCTGCATTGTGGGCCTTGACAGAGGGGCGCAAGCGAGCTTCAGGTTTGCTACATGAAGGGTCGATACGTTCCTGGCTCGACCAACGGTCTGTGTGTGCGGACTCATCGCACATGTCAACAAACCTGTCGTGCCAAAGCAGGAGTGCACTGTCGCACAGCCCAAGTTGTGCTTTTGTCAATTGGGCTGTTGAAGCTTTGCACGACATTGACATTAGAGGCAAACAGCCAAGCGACTCGAGTCGACATCAGCTTGAAGCCTAGGTGAACGCTGCATTGTGGGCCTTGACAGAGGGGCGCAAGCGAGCTTCAGGTTTGCTACATGAAGGGTCGATACGTTCCTGGCTCGACCAACGGTCTGTGTGTGCGGACTCATCGCACATGTCAACAAACCTGTCGTGCCAAAGCAGGAGTGCACTGTCGCACAGCCCAAGTTGTGCTTTTGTCAATTGGGCTGTTGAAGCTTTGCACGACATTGACATTAGAGGCAAGCAGCCAAGCGACTCGAGTCGACATCAGCTTGAAGTCTAGGCGAACGCTGCATTGTGGGCCTTGACAGAGGGGCGCAAGCGAGCTTTAGGTTTGCTGCATGAAGGGTCGACATGTTTCTGGCTCGACAAAGGGTCTGCTACACAAGCTTGCGATACAGTACCAGTTTTTGGTGACGCGTTTGGGGTAGAGCCACTTGGTGAGTATGATCTATTTGGAACTATGGCTGCAGACTTCTCCTTTCAGACAGTCGGACGTAATCTGATGATTCTGTGTAGCCACCCAAACAGGTTTCCCTTGGGGATGGCCTTTCCCTGGGATCCCCGCGGCAAGATGCGCATGCTTGTTGTAAATGAGCTACAGCATCCAGTTTGCGCATCCCGCTACTTGCAAAAAGCGCATGAGGCGGGCCTGCCTGACAAAGAGCTGGCCAAAGTCCTGGTAGCTGCCTCAGCCTGGCAAAGCCGGAGCGATCGGGACAAGCTGCAAGTTGTCTTCAAGCC